ATTGGAATCGATTGTATCGTCATTAGCTGTTTGGATACTGGAATATCTTGGCTCTTTAGCGATGAAGACGATAAGTTTTACTGTGGAGCACTTTTGTAACACGTTTATCACCAGCACTTCATGCTCATAATCTACTTTGTAACTTGTGTATACTTGTAGGGAATCATATGAACCATAAAGACATGTGCATAAGAAATTATTGTTCATTGAAATTCGACTGAGTGTTTAGGTAAGGCTACGTATTAATAGGAGTACTGATTTTGACCATCGCACCCAATTATCTACGACATACTTGATATTCTGACAGTTCTGTTGCTCTTTAAGTTAACTTCTTCATGTGTAGACATCTACGAACCATTGCAGATGTCATACTCAGTGGGTTTTAATAAGCACTGTAACCAGATGCAACTAAATTGTCTGGATATATTAATGTACTAGGTTATAAATTGGAAGGGAAAACGTATAAGTGCATGCTTATGTACACATGAACCATAATTGATGGTGTTTCCACGTGTCAGTAAGAAGAACAAATTATTACGATGTACACAACATTAGATAGGGAGGCGTGAAATGGATTTATTTTTCAGCTAGGAGTGTTTATCAACAACAAAGTCTATCACAAATCCCAACTAGTTACAAGTAAGCGCAGTAAAATCCAGCGAAACTGCTTTATATCAGTTGTTCTGAAGGTTAGAAATGTTATCTATGCGTAGTTTGGTAGATCGATGTTTTTAAAATTAAATCTGACGCCTAGACTTCATGCGAAACAAGTAGCTTGATGGAGACGTTAGTAAACGCTTCTACTAGAGTAAACATTAGCAGGGGAGTCAAGATTGTCTTGTTTTACATTCTACTAAACAAACATTTGTTTTCATTATTCAGTTTTACCAATTTTATTTAACAAACACATGTAGGTTATGAATTATGAAGTAAGTGCTGAATGAAATAACGATAAAAAGAACTTATCGAAAACTGTTCGCCTGAGAAAACGGTGAAAATAATTCGAAACAACTATGGTTATCAACATTCGTGTTAAGACGTACTCAAGTGACTAAGGGGGAAAAACGTCATCTTGTGTGTTGTGTAAGTCATTTGCAAATAAGCCTTGTTTAGACAAATATCAGTATGAACTGGATGATATAAATAGAAAGAAAAACACACTTCAGCTATTTACTTTCTGCAAACATTTTATTGGTTGGTAAATTTCTCTGCCTCTATTATTCATTATCTTTAACGGATATTTTATTACTCGAATAACACCCTACATTCAGATAGTCTTTAAAAGTCCGTTGATGAGTTCTCGAAATTCGCAACACGAATTTTAAAGTTAGAAATCGATTAAGATTTGAGGTTAAACAGAAAACAACTCAGATTGTATGATCCTACCTTCACATAAAGTCACTTTACCATGAATCAAGTATGAAAATCTCGATTAACTTTGTTTATTTCCAACCTATGGGGAAATTCTTTGAGCAGTAATGACAAAAAGCCTTATGGTTACCAGCGTGTTGTTCTACAAAGTGATTTGCTACGGTTAATTGTCCGTTTTCTCATTTCAACTTCTATTTACCTTGACTCGTAACCTAAAGACTGGTTACTCAGCCAGTCCCCGGTATCTTTTTCTTTCTTAAAAATACACTCTGGTGATCAAGATTATCATAAATAGGTTACAAGTCAAATCAGTGAGTTAAAGGTAGGTTTATTTTCCAAACACTAAATTTGCCATTAAAATCTATTTCTGGATAGACAACTAGAGGAGTCTTTCTGCTCCAAATAGACGCAAATTGAATAAAAGCTGCTTATAACTATTTTCTCCATGTGCGTAATCTAGATAACATAAAGTACACCACCGAAGCTACTGCAGATGTATTATGCACATAATAGGATTGGGTGACTAATGAAAGTCATATTTTCAGTATTGCCAACTTTTAAATTTTTTTCGAAGTAGTCCTATGAAAACTGACTTTATACAACTTAACAGTCACTCTTTTATGCGTTTAAAGATTATCTTACGCCACTTTCACGTTCTTTTTTCTTGAACAAATAATACAACAACAGAATACAAATGGATATATATTATCTACACACTCCAAGAATTTCAATAATTGGATGAGTTTATATGAGACTATCAAAATGTGAATTTTTTCTCCTGTTTTTTTAAATTCCTATTTTCATCTACCTCTTTTGCAATCATCATTTTATATTTGCTTTGCATTCAACTATTTTATTAGCTCAAATTTGTATGTGCTTATGGTTTAATCGTTACCACAAAGCCACTTAAATGAAGTCAAATTGGTGGTATTGTTGGTAATCAAAATTCATCACCGAATTGTATTGTCACATTTTAAAGAGTATGTAAATGGAATAAATGATGATAAACATATTATCTGCATATGAAAACTGTAACCCCACTCTGAAAATTATTTCTGTCTGATGATATTCAGAATGTTACATTACAGTGAGTAACAAAAAAGACATTGATAGCATCAAAAATGAAATATGAAAACCTGACTTTATCAATTGCTTCTCTGTCTGTTACCTAGGTGACGGGAAGGAATGTGAAACACATGACATTGAAGCGGTCACAAAAAAGAGGTTGACGCAGATAAAAGATAGTGAGCACTCAAGAAATAATTGGTTATGTACAGAAGTCAAATGCTAAACTTCTGATTTCGTGGATTATTATCTTATTATTCATTGTCATTTGGGTCCCTAGTGGAACATAGACCTTCAATAATAAGTTGACATTTCACTCTCTTCACCGCAGTCTATTTAAACTCGCTTCACCACAGCCAACAAGCTTTCATTTCTTCCTCACACCATCTCCACCATGTCACCCTCACCTCAGACGCCAAACAAATTGATTCCTCCTTCGGTTCGACTCCAGGACATGGGTTGACGCGTGATTCCACAAAATGGTCTTCTCAGTCTATGTCAAATCCAATCCGTCTACACTTTCCACTGCATATTTGTTGGGCGATGGCTTCTTGGTTGGTTGGTTCGTTCGTCACCAGCCAGCCAGCCAGCAACACAGACTTCCCTGTTGCTTATTCTTATTACTCTGGCCATATCATCTTCGGTAGCAGTATCGAACGAGCGAAGGCAGCAGCTGTTGATGTGATGCATGTATGTAGTTTGCTGGAAATGCTAATGGTGACGCACCGAGTCTCTCAACAATCACACAGAATCACTGACTTACTTGAATGACTTAGTGTTGAAAATCTGGATGTTGTTCACGCTTTATGCTGAGTGTAGTGCAGTGCAGTGCAGTGAAGTAGATCTCCACACACACTAGATTCAGATAAGTGCAGGAAGGCCTCTCCTGTCGCCTTCCTGATCCTGGCTTTGACGCCCTCATCTGTGCCACCTCCACCTGTAGTTGAAACTATGCTGCCTAAGCAGGTAGGTGAAAGAGACTACTGCCTCCAAGTTTCTCCCATCCTTGGTGATCGGTGACTTCTGTTGTTGTCGTCGGTGATTAGGTGTCTTCATCACCTCTGCCTTCTCTGTGTTCACCTGCAGCAAGTCCTATCTTCACTGCCTCACCTCTCCTATCAAATCGTTAGTTCCTGTCTGTAGATCTCCGAGTTTGTGCGACACTAGACATGAATTATCATCGTTGACGAAATCCAAATCTTCTACTCTCTTCTCATCTGTCCAGCCAGCGTATGACCCTCTTCTCACAGCTCCTCACAGCTTGTTGCATAATCCAGTCGACCACAATCAGGAAGATGATCGATGGTAGTAGGTGGCAACCTCGTCTGACTCATGTCCCCTGTCCTCACTTCAAAGGCGTCATTCAGCTCTCCATCGTGAATCACTTCGCATGTGGCGTCGTCATATGGTTGTTGAATGAGGTCGATAGAGGTTTGTGGTAGTGAAACAGTAGTGTTGAAGCAGTTATCTGCCAAATTACTTCCCGATCGACGCTGTCAAAAGCCGGCACCTTCAAAATCGACGAAGTTGAGGTTGAGTTGAGTTGACTGCCATTCTACGATCTGTTCTGTTATGGTGTGTAGCGTTTCAACTTGATCCGCACATGATTTGTTCTTTCAGAAGCTAGAGAGCCAGCCTGTTCTGGTTGTAGTTTTGAATGCAGCACATCTTTCACGCTCTCCACGATGATGTGGCATAATAGTTTGCTTTGAGTGGACGTGGATTGAGCATAATTCCACTGCAGCTCCTGCAGAGACATAGGTCACCCTTCTTTGGAAGTTTGACAAGGTAACCCTTCTGCAAATCTGCAGGCACCTTTCCTTTCAGCCTTATTTCCAAACCGTGTGCAGTAGTGGTGTGAGCGTGTCCACTGTTGTCCCCGTGTCTGTTTGCTGTGCTTCTTGCGAAATCCCATATGGTCCTCCTGATTCCTTGGATTTCAGCAACGTTATGGCATTCAGGACTTCGACTTTTGTCGGAAGGTTTGTGTTCACTGGTAGTTCTGTGGCTGGTCTGCTGGTGGTATTTCTGGACAAGTTGCAGGTGGTGGTAGATTCAAGATTAGTCTGAAGTGGTCAGACCATTTTTTCCTTTGCTTCTCCTCTTTGGCGTTAACTAGGTTTCCTTCTCCATCTTTCATCGGTTTCGTGTGTGTTGACCTCTCCCCTACCAGATAGTAATCTGGCTATTTCATATAGTGTTGTCAGGTCTCTGTCTCTTCTACCTGCAGCCTGTTCTGCTTCACTTGACAGTGTGTCGTAGAGGTGTCTTTTGTCTTTGCGTGCACTCCTCTTACCTTCCTTGCCCAGTGTAGTGTTTTATAGGCTGTGTCCAGTTCCTCCTTACGATGTTCATCCTTGCACTGATTCACCTTCTGCTTCACCATCTTCCTCTCCCTCCTCTACCACCTTCCATGTGTCCATCGAGATGCATTCCTTGTCTCGCCTCTTCTTCCTTCCTAACATGGCTATGCAGGTTTCCTTCCACATCTCTTTCAAAGAGTTCAGTGTTATTCCACGCAGATTTCCCCAAGGATGTTGCTGACTGATGTGAAGATGTCCTTTGTAAATTCGTCCTTCAGTTTCTGCTTCAGGCGTCAAACGTGAACTGTGGTCTATCACCCAATTATTTGAAGCTTTCTACTGCTTTTGAAGTTTCTTCGCACTCGATAGTGAATGTTATGAACCTACATCTGCTCCTCTTATCCATCTGGTTTTTTAGTGTCCAGTAGGCTAAGTCTCCACTTTCCTCACATTGAAATGAGGTCGATCTGATTTTTCGTGTAGTATGTCTGAGTGGTGAAGTTGAATGCATGTCGCTTTGTGAATATCCTTGCCTCCAATCACCAAATCGTTGGATGCACAGAGGTCTGCAAACAGTTCTCCATTCTCATTCATCGTTTCACTAAGTGTTTCTCGACCCATGATGAGTTGTCTTCCTGTGTTGTCTTCTTCCAGATTGGCATTCATGTCACCCATTAGAATTTTGATGTCTCCTACTGGGTGACGGTATTGTCCGTTACTGATTGCAGTTGTCCGTTGATTTCGTTGATGATATGTGACAAAACCCATGAAAGCATAAAATATTAGCTATGTTAACCTTATTATGAAATCGTGTTTTGGGAAGATTGAACATTTTCTATTGTCCGATAAAAGGTAGTCTACGTCAAAAATGTAGATGTATCTAGAAATTATGTTTTGTTAAGTAATTGAATGAAACCACCTGTCCCCTATATTAAAAATTAAATTTATTTGCAGTCAATAAATATTTTCTAGGTGTTGTATACTGAAATTATCTACTCTGGAACGTAGAATAATTATGCTTCTTTGCATGAATTAGTTGTCCTACCGTTTTACATTTTTAGGTGAATTTTAAACTTCGTAAATGTTTTCCATTGCACTGTAATGTTCTGTCTTTTTCGTATCATTTATCTGACTTCATGAATTTAATTAATTTATAGATAAGAATGTTTAGTTATACTTCCATGCTTCTCAACATTTTGTTCTAAGTATAATTACCTAGACTTTGCATTAATATGGAATTTTGAAGACTATATATGACTATTAGTGAATTTGGGAGATATACGAAGGTGAATCGTACAAGCGATGTCTTAGCAATTTATTTAAAGTGATATAACTCAAGGCATCCAACCATTCTGATGAAACTTCAACTGCTAGATTGAAAAACTGCCTTGCGCTTGTGGTCAACCGCAAAAAAGAACGTTTATCAATTAGTGGTGCTTCTATAGATTCGCATTCAACTCTCGATGAAGATGACGTATTAGTATTTGATGTCTGAATTTTACAACGGCAAATGGTGGTGTTCACACTTTGCTTTGTATGGGTAATGATTGAAAATAACCATTAGTTAAAAGATGCCCAGTGGATCTTGTAGTCACAAGAAGCCGAATATGTTTCAGTTTTTAAAAAATAATCGATTCAATTAATTGAAACGAAATCCAGCCAGGATAATTCATACTATCTTGTCTTTCCATGCGTTACTTTATTTCTGTTCTTTATACAGTTTAACTCTGTGTCTGTTCTTTCTTTGGCAAAATGGATGGTTGTCCGTTTCATAAAATACCCGACATTCGGATTATATCATTCCTTCAAATATATGACAATATGGGATGATATGATGTCCGAAGTCTTTTAGATTTCACATAATCTTTCCTTAGCGAACCTCCTATTTTAGGCTGAGCAACAAGTTAGTTGAATTGATTCATCATTTCTATGTGACTTCTGTGCTTTTGGAGAAGAATGTTTTAGAAGTTAGCATTTCAGTGTTAAACTAGAAAACGTAACCAACTGCATAATCAGATCTTCATTGAAAGTTTAGTACCTACGAAAGTTGGAAAATTGTTCCCCGGCGTGTACAAGAAGAACTACTTATTTGAGTATGAGTTTCGAATTTAAAACTCTTTATTATTTCATCTTTACATGTGAAAAATATCAAACACGCCCTTAAGAGAATATGAAACTATTATCCATGTTGTTTGGTTTTGTTCATTCGATATTTTTACAACAAACGGGATAGTCTGTTGAGGATACTACAAGTCGCCTAATTAAGCGGTTTGGTATGTCGTAAGCTGATGATGAAAACATTTCATTATCGGGCAGGTCTATTACATAGCTTAGGACTTCTAATGTCCAGTTACGACTGTGACATATGATCACAGATTAATTGGGTGTTTTTGATTAGAATATTTCAGTTTCATCGAATTGTTTATCCTCACGTAAAATGAATACTCCTCAACCACAACATGCATGAATACTAATAGTTCCAAGGGTTCCTTTTAAGATTAAAGGGAATTTCACAGAATTTAAATACGTGTTCTTTAGGTGAGTATTTAACTTTTTCCCATACATTATTCATAATTTGAACTCATCAGATATTACTTGGTTTGGTCTAAGATTTTAAGTACTGCTCATTAAGTGGTTTAACAGGAATTCATTATCCGGTATAGGTATTATATATAACTCATTGGCTTAAGAACCTGGTTTGCGTCTAAAAACAGACTATATACCAAAACTTCTATGTGAGACTTTATAAATCTACCTGGCTTCAAAGACGTAAGTAGTTCGAGTTGACTTAAACTCAATTTCTTAAGACTGAGTTGGGCCTTCATCATCCCAAAATAACAGAGTTATATTTAAGCCTCCTAGGTAGAACACATGACATCTAATATGTAAGCATACCTTCGACATTAAACTATCAAATAATATAAACATTATAAGCAACTTTTTGATTAAAGGATTACCTGCGAGCGATCGAATGAGCGAAATGAATAGATTTAACTTCACGACAATGTGCAGATGATGGTGAACAAAATGATTTTCTTGTATCACTTAACTGTGAATTCGAATGACCTGGATTATACTGATAATCAATACCAGACGTTTTTTGTCGTAGTTGTTGTTGTTGAGCTAACTGACTCCTTATTTGCTGCTGTGGTTCCAAAGATATACAAAATTCATTCTCTAATAATTTAGATTGACTTTTGGGCATAACATTTCCTACAGGATGAATTTGTTTAAATCTGCTGGAAAATTCAGGTTGTATACTGTAACATCGTCTATAGGCTTTACGCCTTTTATCCAATTCGCTAGTTATATTACCTCCTGGTTTATTGTTATGCATAATAGAATACAGAAATATTTATAGATAAATTGGTTGCCACATTCTTTTCACCATGTGATTTCATATAACGGTAATTGTGTCTGGTGTAGCGAAGAAAGATGAAAGTAGTTCAATAAGATTTAGTTTTTCTGTTTCAGTATTCTCTCAGATTATTTTCATCACCAACATTCTGCTGAATCTAAAGGGTGGTATACAACAGGGGATTTAATCCCTTGAAGAGTTTTAATTGATCTGTTTTTAAGCCAATAGGATTTCTCAATTGATAACCAATCAGAAACCAGGATATTATTGGTTATATTATTACAAAGTGACAGTTAAGCTTCAACGACATTACTTTGTTTACTGACAATTTTTAATCTAGATTTCTCATTATACTATTGGTAAGAAGCCATATGTATAATGTTACTAGTAATTAAAGTATAGGAAACAGTCTATCTTACTAGCTTTTAAAGAAGCTAGGGGTTTCTGTGGTATGGTAGTCAACCACTACTCAGGAAAAAAGAGTCATCCTTCAACTGACCAAAAATTGACCTGCTTGTTCAACAATCGAGCCTCAGGTTAGTCATAAAGGTGCAGTCCTCCTTCGCCAAAATCTGTTTTCCTGTTTGAGTCCGTAGGAGCTTGGGTCAGAGGTGATAAATGATTCTTCCCCTACTTGCAAGTAAGCTTTATTTACTGTCAAGAAAACTACTAACCAGACACTTAATTTCATGCTCATTACATGACATTTGGCCGAACAAATTCTGTCAATTTACGTCATTGGAATCTTTATGCATACAGCATGGCTGGAAGCAAATATGCAAATTTTAATACTATCCTAATCACATTGTTACTGTTTTCCTGATATGCCAACACTAAATAGGTGTTGTAGACGTTCTCAGTTGTGCTGAATCACCTTTGAAACTAATTCAACCCTTATTGGCCCGAATTCACTTACAAAAGAGTTTTTGTGGATGATTAGTGAGTAGTAATAGTTTTTATTTACCTAATCTTTCTCTTCATTGTTTAACCAATGATTTGACTGCTTAAACATGAAATTGAACTCCCAATAATTGGCATACAGTAAGATTATCTAAATGTCAATCAGAATTCGACTTTTTTTCTGCAGACAATGGTACAAAAGACACTGTTTTTTCTCTTTTGTATTTTCAATCCAACAAGTTTAATTCTTTCTGTTCATCTACTAAAATGAAAAGATCTTACCTGCCGCCGAGTTTGTGTGTGTTACTGAAAACTTTCGGTACCACTAAAGTAATTGTATCATACAGATACTAAATATTTTCAGATTAGTACTTTCTCAACTGTTCATAAAAATTCCATATTAGATTTGTTTATTTGATTTATAACACACAGTGATCTAGTATTATTTACTTGATAACATTTCGAGCATAAATTATCATAATGAATGTAATCACACTACTTTCGACATTTGATTTTTATAGTTACGTCACTTTAAAGTTGTTTTTTATTTGGAAAATTTTACTACCAATGAAAAACAACTCCTCTAAAGTGACGTAACTATAAAAATCAAATGTCGAAAGTAGTGTGATTACATTCATTATGATAATTTATGCTCGAAATGTTATCAAGTAAATAATACTAGATCACTGTGTGTTATAAATCAAATAAACAGATCTAATATGGAATTAAATTCTACCACAGTGCCCAAGTTTTACACCCATATAATGTTCATAAAAATATCTGCTATGACTGAGAATATTGATAGTCATTTTATCGCATCCTCCATTTATTCTAATATATAATTTGAATGGAATTTGAGAAACATACATTTCGAACGCGAAAACGTAGTTTTCATTATTTCTTTAGCTGATACTGATTTGTTATAGTATCTTAAGTGAAATGATTTTATTCTATATAAGCTATTAAGGTGAATTACCATTCAAAAGTTAGTCATCCGTGAGTAACCAATTTAGTTGACTAGCCTTAAGTTCTTAACGTCGATCGAAGTTTAATGAGCAAATTGGAGATGAGATGTATAGGCTGCAGAACGCACCAGTACCGTTTGTTGTCTTTTACTGTGGTATGTTAGAAGTCAACCAACAGTAAACTATACTTTATTTAGATTCTTTTTTTACTGGCACTCATCAGCAAGGCATATCTGCAACCATGAGGAGAATTATTTGAACCACGGAAATAACATAAACTATTCCATGGTCATCGATACGTACCGCTAGTTAGTGCAAAAGACATGAAACATAGGTGAAGAACAGCCTCGTACCGATAGACTCTTAACACAACTTCAGAATGTACAATCTGTACAGAAAGTCATTTGGGAAAACTGATCAACTTAAAGGATTCAGAGTGTGGAGAAAAAAATCTGTTCTACCAGCAATGGGTCAATCTAAATACTTTAAGGAAACCAGGAAAGTGAATATGGCAAGATTCTTAAAATTCTCGATCTTCGTTGAGATTTCTCACCCGAATACTCAATTTTGTAGCCTAACAAGTGATTTATACATGCATAAAAGTGTAACGCTTGCGGACAATAACTGGGGTATGGAAACATTCAAGTAAATAACTTACAGGTAAAGTAGGTTTATGAAAAGGTTGGAAAGGTGAGTCACATCACTGTGAATAAAAACGATCAAATGTGAAGCGAGATAATAGTGTTAAGGAATTATGGAATGGCTGAATAGATAATGATAATAACATTCTTTTTAAATGAATAAAGTCAAAAATCATCAAAAATGCCAACATTGTAGGATCATAGTAGTACAGTACACCTAAATACATGAAGCTGATCATCATAGCAATAAAGCACAGGCTCCTACAATAGTGGATATATTGTCAGTTCTTTTTGATAAGTATTTTGATAAATATCCTGCAGTAAATGCTTTTTTATACAACAACTTGAAATATATTTGTTCCTAAATGCCTTAGGCATTTAAATGAGTCCCCATACATGTAGTTAGACAGACTCTTCTTCGTCTGACGAATATACTAGCTTATCCCAAAAATCTTGTATTGATACGTGGACCATAAAGTATTGACTAACATTCTTTTTATGACTGAATGTTAAATAAACCGACAGAATTAGTAAAATGTGAGCCATTGAACTCTGACTAAGCGGTTTATTGGTAGCATGCTCTTGAAAGAACCTGAAGGTAGTTTGTTGGATTCTTGATGGGGTGTATGAGAGCATATTGCAGAGTGGTCCCTTACTAAGATAAAACAGATGTTCAGTACACCTAGGTTTTCAGTGGTTTTCTTACAGATTTCAGTCACTGATGAATGCCATTATGGAACTATTAGTCATTCGACAAGCTTGTGGTTCATTCAAGTCGTAAACTTAAAATCACATGCTTCCAGATTTCTTTATTTGAGAAATATCGAGTAAGTTCATGAGAACATTGTTTACCTGAATAAGGATTCATAACAAATAATCTTTGGTTCTTCTAATTCCATATTGAAAGAGGCTTCAGGTGATGACTATGGGAGAAGGAAATAAACGTTCTATGTAAAAGACACAAAGTTGTGGTGTTGAACGGTTTAAGGTTATCAAAATAAAATATTATGGACTTCAGTATTTTTTACCTTTGAATACTCAAGCAACTGTTAATGCAGATGTGTACAGCCAACAAGAAAATAAGTATAGAAGGAGCTTCATAATATTGACATATACCAATCACTGAAAAATGAAGAGATACAGAGGTATTGGTGGATGATAATTTTGCAAAGTTACTGGAATTTTCCTCTAGAGCAAACTTAACTGCATGATCAGAAGTACTTAAAAGTCTGTTAGTTGAAAAATATTTCCGCTGCCATTTTACTTGGGTCTCATATATCAATTTGTCTATCTATATATACATATACATAAATATGTACCTATATATCATCTCTCAGGTGATCTTGAGTATACAGGGAATAAACTCTTGGGAAGTATTTAACCTTAATCATTTGAATAGTGTTTTTGCAACTAGAGAACAATGTTTTCATTTTCCTTATAGTACAACACTACCTAGGATTTCCCAGAGGATTAAAAAGATAAAAGAAGTAGGTGAGATAGCATCGACTGGAAAAATTTTCATCCTTTGATAAAGAAAATAACAGTTTTTACACTCTTGATGAATTTAGCTTTTGTTGTCGCTTTCATATCAAATGCCTACCGGTAAATATTAACTAGAATTTATTTGGTTAAAACTTGAGTTTTAATCAGTTTTTGAGTTTTATGGTGTTATACTTGGGGTTTTAATGTCGTATGGTATTTGTACTTTCCAAGTTAAACAACAACTTATTAGAGCTTCCGTATAGTTGTATTTATTTTCCACCAACTACTATTGTACCACATGTTATAAGTGGTTAGTTTTTCTTACCTATGTGGCTGGCGTGGCCATTTTTTCTCTATGAATGAAGTTAGGCAGCATGACAGAAATCTGCGTGGAATAACACTGGAACTCTTTAAAAGAGATGTGGAAGGAAACCTGCATAGCCGTGTTAGGAAGGAAGAAGAAGCGAGACAAGGAATGCATCTCGATGGACATATGGGAGCTGGTAGAGGAGGGGAGAGGAAGATGGTGAAGCAGAAGGTGAATCAGTGCAAGGATGAACATCGTAAGGAGGAACAGGACACAGCCCATAAAACACTACACTGGGCAAGGAAGGTAAGAGGAGTGCACGCAAAGACAAAAGACACCTCTACGACACACTGTCAAGTGAAGCAGAACAGGCTGCAGGTAGAAGAGACAGAGACCTGACAACACTATATGAAATAGCCAGATTACTATCTGGTAGGGGAGAGGTCAACACACACGAAACCGATGAAAGATGGAGAAGGAAACCTAGTTAACGCCAAAGAGGAGAAGCAAAGGAAAAAATGGTCTGACCACTTCAGACTAATCTTGAATCTACCACCACCTGCAACTTGTCCAGAAATACCACCAGCAGACCAGCCACAGAACTACCAGTGAACACAAGCCTTCCGACAAAAGTCGAAGTCCTGAATGCCATAACGTTGCTGAAATCCAAGGAATCAGGAGGAC